AAAAATTGGAACCGGTAATAAATATTATATATGTTTACATACATCAGTAATATTGTTTAGAAAATTGACTGTTATAATATTGATATATTATTATGCGACTAAATACACGTACCACTATTTTTCAATACATGCGCATATTTTTCAGTAATACTGGTATTATTGCCATTATATTATATTCTATATCGATTTTATTAAAACTCATAACACTGGTATAATAAATTTCATATAATTTTCACAAAAATTACAAACAAAGAAATAAAACATATGTAAATTTGATATTTTACAATTAATAATAGTAATATTGACATAATATCAGTATTATTAAAAGTATATATACATTTGGTTTAACATTACGTTATTAAAATCTGTAGCAATCAATTTTTATTTTATTATTATATAGCATATACTCATGTGATATATTTTTTGATATTTTTTATATTGGTTTTAATCCCTAATATTTGACTGTTTTCTGTAAGACCATTGATTTTAAGTTACACAATTTAAACCGGAATCGCGAACGATTAAATCAAGTGTAAATATGTGATATTACTGCGTAAAAGAATATAACACACAGAGAGAAATTAATTTTCAATAATGTAAAAATTCAGTTAAATATCGGTAATTGATGTTTGACGTTGATATAATTAAACATTTTTAACGTTGCAATTTTACTGAAATAAAGATTTATACGATACCGGTATAAAATTGCTGCCAAAATTATTTTGGTATTTATTCTCTGATTGAAAAGTACTGTGAAACTCGATGGAAAAAACAGGTAAAATTGAGATGAAATCTGAGCAATGTAAAAATGATACACGACATGCTCCCGATTTACTAAAATTATGTTGCATATTTGGCTACACAAAATTAATTTTATTGCGCTTTTTATATAAGTTACATTATTATTCCTGATATCTATGATGCATCTATATAGACAGCGTGTGTTCGCGTCATTGCCTTTTATCTTTTTCAGATAAGCGTATATACACGTATTAAGGTGTGATAAAGATGTACAGATTTTCGCTTTGAAAACAATCATTAATTAATTTATGTAAAATAAATATTTTAGCAATTCGGGAATTTTTCATTTGCTTCGAATTCGGGGATTGTTTCTCTCTTTTGTTTCATATTTATTTCATATTTCACGGTTCGTTAAAAACAATAATCGAATAATTGCATTGGAGAACATATTTCTGTATATTGAAATAATTAATGGAATGTATTCTAAAGGAATTAACTTACATATTTATTTTAATAATTACAATTTTCAAAAGTTTACTGCACAATCAAAATGGTTTATACAAAAACTACATCAATAGCCCTTTTTTTATAATAAATTATTTTTTTATTTTGAAAACTTCTATTTTTTTTTAGGACATACATTAGCATTAGAAGGTTTGATATTTTATTAATATTAAAACATGACGTGGCATAATTTTGAAAACTTATATTTTTGAACAAAAGACTCTGATCACATATGTATATCCCGAGTGATTCCCGACATAGATCGAAGTCGACCGACACGCTGATCATTTGTTCTAACAATAAGTCAATGCCGCACAATGGCTGACTTTACAATAGTTTACGGTAATAACTTCCGCGTTCCTGCGCGCGCCGGTACGTATCACCCACGCTTTTTTTTTTCACATACCATGCATTCCTATGCGTACGTACATCCGCATCTAATTAAAATAATACATTGCCGGATTTTCAGCTACGCTATAATTCAGCGAAAAATTGACAGCGACGTGCGACAAAAATCGATCTCCTCCATTTTTCATGCTGCATATATTTATGCACACTGCACATGCTCTTATCATGACACACATATATGTATGTATATTATACTCAAATAACATTCGAACATTTTATGTATGAATTGTTCGAACATGTAAATGTATGTTTTTTTTTACAATTGGCCAACTTACCTGATTTCGATGCTCGCATATCTCGATGCATCGGTGCATTGTGACACATACAACGTCGCGACATAGTATTATCGGTATCTATATGCGCATATTATAAAAATATATTGTAATAATAAGGAGAAAATTCAAATTTTCGTGATTATTTTACACCTAAAAAGCACGTACGCGACGACGATGAGTTTTCCCGAAACAGAAATTCAAAAGTTAGCACTCTAATTTGCATTATACGCATTCTCACATGTGTGTGAAAATTATTATTCTCATTTGAGAGAAATCTAAAAGTAATTATCTCGGGGTTTTTCGCGGAATGGTTAACGCAGAATTCTGCTCAGTTTCCTCTACTTGCATCCAAAATCCAAAAGTGATTGTCTCGATGTTTTTTGCAAGAGGCTGGCGTAGAGTTTCACATTTTACAGTCATTTGTATTGGTAATCGATCATTATTTTATGGTCAATTAATAATATGAAAATATAAGAAAATATGAATTTATTTAGCACAGGTAGAATTGTGATGTTCAATTTCTCCGTTTCAAAGCTAGGTACATTATTATCTATATTAGGTATATATATGTGCATTTATACTCGCAAGGAATGATATTTATAATTTGCTGTCGTACTGCGCATTTATCGCTGACAGTTTTATTAAAAAACGCACAACAGCGTGTAAGTATTCATTAAAGCGTGGAGATTTTATTAAAATGAAAGACACTCAATATCTTTGTATTCGTACTAATTGCTAGCTACTTGTAAATATTTTTTCTTAAACTCTGAGACTGTTACGAAGCACCGATGTATTCCAATTTCTCTCACAAACGAGGCGCCTAGATATTGCTCGAAAGTAGACTTCTGTCAAGTATTATCGATAGTTTACAAGTTTTATATTGGTACAAAATTAATAACTTGCAGAAAAGTGTATGTTGATTATTTTATACTAAATTCTATTTATAGTTCGTTGATTTAATTATTTTTTTATTCTTTTGTTTATAAAGTTACCATTTGTATTATAATATAATTTCATTTTTAATGACAAAAACCTTTTAAACATTGTTTTTCGCCAAAACGCCACAGCGTTTATAAAAATAATAAGAAGCGTTATTCGATACTTTGTAACATTATAATAATTAAAAATGTTTTTAATTTTACATGATGGAATTGTGTGAAATACTTCCACATATCAAAATTGATGAGTTAAATTTTAATTACAGAAAATTGCATAAGCAACATTGTTTACAACGAGTTATTATATATGTGAATATATTTGAAAATTGATGCGAGAATGAGCAATGGAGAAATGGTTAGTCAGAATATATTGCTCGGAGTAAGGAAATGCGGAAACTGTGAGTATTTGAATAACATACGCGAAGAATGGCATTCCGCATTGGCCTTAGTGAATGAATGAGATCAAGGAAGAGGAGGAAGGAGATGCGTAAAGATCATACACACAATGTGGAAAAGCGGCAACAATATTGATAATATGCTTTTCTTAAGAGAGAATACTTTTCACATCTCTTATAGACTTTTATAGAGATATTTGGATATAAAATTTAAACAATAAGATTAAAGAAAATTTTTCTTCTATTTAAATCAACTTAAAAAAGAAGCTTTCATATTCTTTTTAAATATATGCATTTATTTGTTGGTTTATATTCATGTCAATAGCATAGCGTTAATTTTTTTTATTTCTTTTCACAAAAAGTGAAATTTTTCGAATTGTTATTTAACTGGTTTTATAGTTGGATGGTTTGTGTGACGTTGTCAAAGCATACGATTCAATTAGGATTCCATAATTAAAAGCAACACAACATTCCAATACACGGATCAAAACGATGTTGCATTACACAATGTTGTTGCGCCAATAAAAACGTAATCGAACGTAAAGAAAGTCGGTCAGTTCGCTGTTATTTCCATTCTGGTATCTACGATTTGGCAATTCAGATATTACTTCCACTCGCGACCGGTTAATTTCATGCAGGTAGTAGAAATTCTAATACGAGAAAGATATCGACGAATAACATTATTGACCGTACCCAATTATCCCGGTTAACGATTGCCGATTGAATAGGCCTGAAAAGAAAATTGATGATGAGATTTTAAAAATAAAAAGCCAAATAAAAGTATAAAAATAAAAAAAGTAGAGCAAAATAAATATACAAGAAGTATATAATATCATATCGGAGAATAAAAATCGCGTTGCGTTCGGAAATTGAATTTCAAAGAGCGTGAAAGTCCCACTAGCCATCTAGTCAACCATTTAACTAACCATCGAGTTGTCGGTGGATAACGAAAGTCACGGTGTACGCGAACTCGTTACGAACGGTGACAGAATTGAAGAGGACAGGCCGTCCAATGACAATAACAAGGTGAAACATCGAAGCAGTGGGTAAAACAAGTTGGACGTGGTTGCAATCGACAGCACAAAAGATACGTTTGCAGACACAAGAACGGCGGCGGCGGAAGAGGAGAAATCCTCTTCCCTCTTCCCGTGATACCGATTGTTGCCGTGTTTCTTCCGCGCTTCGATTTGCTCGACGTGGAGAATGCTTTCCTGAAAACCGTTCCACCGTTGTCCTTTATCGTGTGTCCTTTCGCTTTCGCTCTCGGAACAGCATTTGCTTTGACATCTATAGAGAAGAAATCTCATATCTTTTTTATATATTTGTACGTTATTCAACGTTCTCGCAATTTAATAAATAAAAACTGAATAAATAAATGCTTTTCCCGTTTGACAAAATTGCTTAACATATTTAAGGGATGTAAAAAAGGTTGAACAATTCAAAAAAATTATAAATAAAAAATTATGATAAAATACCATTTGTTTAAACTTTTGCCCGGAGAAAATCGATTTCAAAATTTAATTAAAAAAAAAAGAACATTATTTTGTTGAATTTTAAATTCCCTTTTTTAACATATTTTAATATTTTATCTTGATATATATTATTAAAATCATTTAAATCAAAAAAGAGATAAGTATAATTCAATCAATAAAATTAATTAAGGGAATTCTCCTAAAGATTCAATACATTCAAGCGGAGGTTTTGTTACTCATCGATACGACTCCTCAAATTATACTTACCTCTAACTACAGAATCGATAATACCTTTTGTACGAGCGACGCCTTGATAACCATTGATTACTTCATCACCGATCGCCATTAACGTGGTTGTAATTTCTTCACGTGCAGGCATATCTATGACTGCACCTGCGTCTGTGTACGTCCTTTCTACGTCAAAAATTTCGTGATCAGTAGGTGCTTCTTCTTTTTTAATTGCGGCAGCGTTTGCTTTGACTTCTATAGAGAAGAGATCTCATATCTTTCTTATACATTTGTACGTTATTCAACGCTCTCGCAATTTAATAAATAAAACTGAATATATAAATGTCTCTCCCATTTGCTTGACAAAATTGCTTAACATATTTCAAGGATATAAAAAAGGTTGAACAATTCAAAGAATTAAGAATAAAAAGTTATAACAAAATACCATTTGTTCAAGTTTTTGCCCAGCGAATATCGATTTCAAAATTTAATTTTAAAAAACATTATTTTGTTGAATTTTAAATTCCCTCTTTTTTAACATATTTTAATATTTTATCTTGATATATATTATTAAAATCCTTTGAAGCAAAAAAGAGATAAATATATAATTTGATCAATAAGATTAATTAAGGGAACTCTCATAAAGATTCAAGACATTGAAGCGGAGGTTTTGTTACTCGTCGATACGACTCCTCAAATTGTACTTACCTCTAACTGCAGAATCGATAGGACCCTTTGTACGAGCGGCGTCTTGATAATCATTGATCACTTCATCACCGATCGCCATTAACGTGGTTGTAATTTCTTCACGTGCAGGGATATCTATGGCTGCACCTGCGTCTGTGTACATCCTTTCGAAGACTTTGTGATCAGTCATTGCTTCTTTTTTTTTAAGTGCGGCAGCATTTTCAGCGATTTCTACAGAAGAAATCGCAGCAGAGTCTGCGATTACAACTGCATCAGGTGTCGTTCTTACAATTGCATCGGTGTCTTGCGTTGCATCTGCAATAGCAGTCGCAGCTGGTCCTCTTGTCACTGCTAACGTATTAATGCGTGAATTTGTTTGCAATCAGTCGTTTATTAAACAAAATTATCTAGATTTTTGCAAATCATCTGGCTTTAATAAACTCGAGAGCGGAAAGATATCAAATTGTTCAATTTAAAATATTTACTTCAAAAAACAAACTTAAATATGTATATATTAAAAAGAGCTTATTAACGCTGCATTTTACTTTATTCTTGAAATTAAATCAATTTTTTATCTGTTTTTTTTCCCAAAGAGAAAAACTTCGAAATAGCGTCCTGTCTACAAAACGACAGGATTAATTACTAGCTAAATCTGTGGCTTCCTTTTCAATGAACTTCTCACGAAGAACATCAAGTAAACCAGTATAATCCTGGCGACGACTTCGAAGCTCCTTTAGTTTTGCATGTTCAGAAAGATATGGTTGGAACTCGTCCACTTTCTCATCATTTTCGCGATCTTTGTGATTTTCGTGATTCTCGTAATCATCGTGGAATGATTTGCGTATACTTTCGATGCACGTGACCTCCGTTATGATGCATTTACCAAGATAGCTGATTCGAATGTAGAGCGAGATTGTAGCCGAAGTATTCTGGAAGTTTTCGTCCAGCAAAGTATATGTTCCTTTCATGGACCTTAAATCATATATTTATCAGGATATCAAGTTTTTTATAGAAATCGTATACTATTTCTACTATTTTTTACACTTATTCTTCTATAAAAATTATATTTTATAATGCTAACCAAGAATATAGCAAACAATACTATTACATTTTAATAAAATAATAACAGCATTTGTAGCATCAGCTCTATCTATCTAGATGGCCAATCTACGGCCGACAAATATCCCAAAACAAATCGGACGGTTAGATTGGGGAAAAGTTTTCCACGAGATAAAAAGTTCCCTCCTGGTCAACAATCGACGGTTCCTTGGTTTTTGGCGTTATCACCTCGAGATAATCTGTCCTTTATAGTAGTCCGACAAGTATTCCTCCAATTCGTTCCGCTCGCGGATCTGCTTGGCGATGCTATTCAGAAGATCATTGACCGGCACGGCGACGAAACCAACGATTTGGCACGGATCCATCTCGAAATACTTGCACAGTTCCTTCCATATGTAGAGCTGGATATCGACGCCGCTCGCTTCTTCCTCGAAAAAACTCATCGGTACGCAAAAGACGATGGACCTGCCACCGTAAAAGTTCTCGTTCTCGCAGTTGGAGCCGCGATAAGGACGACGATCGCGTCGATTCGGCGATAACGGTGTCCATTCCTCATCCAGCATGCGGAACATGACGATTGTTTTCTTCATGATGACTTTGTCAAACTCGGAAGTCCAGGGAACGTACAACTGTCATCGCGAATAATTAATTGCTAATAATGATTCCATCAAGTTTGCTCAATAATTATTCATTAGATAATTATTTTAGAAAATATAACTATATTTATAATTAGATGTAATCTTGTATCACAAAACTATCTTGAAACGAAGATTCAACAAATGGTATGAATTTCTATATAGTTTTGCCACATCTATTAAATATAATTTTTATATATAAAATATATTTTGAAGATTATATTAAAATACGTGGAATATTCGCTTACGTTTTCCACGGCAATTTCTAGCATCATTAAATGCAAATCGTGCGAAACGATAAGCGACGACATTGCTCACCGGTTTATACGTGTGTGTTAACCACAATTTTATTCCATCGTTTTGTTTCTGTGTATATACGAGTATCATTAATTTTATTCGTTTTATTGTATTTGTGACAATTTACCGGTTACAAGCCATTATTTGGAGTGTATTTCTATTTTCTACAACTACAATTTGAGCCTCTCGAACGCAATGTGCGCTCGTAACTAGCAGAAGCTAGCGTCTCTTGCGTATATCGAATGCATCATTATGCGATATTAAACGCATTCCTGCGTTTGTTCAAAACTGCATGCTCGAAGCCATCGCATATATGTATGTAATAAGAATAGGACATAAATCTCATTGACCAATAAAACGGCAATTTACTGAACATGATTGTCAATTTTATATGTAACGAGAAATGGTTGTTATATATTTACAGAACTATTGCTAAATTTTATAATGATTACTCTTTTGTAATTTATATATTTATAATAAGTTAAAATTATTATCTAAAATTAATTAAAATATATAATTTTTATCAAAACAATTTTTTATTAATTTTAAATTAATTACGAACCATGAATCAATTAATTTTAAATTACAAAATTTAATTTTATTATTTCTTTACACACAAATTTTATAAAATTACTCGTGAAACAGGATACATTTTGCCCACAAACATGATTTTAAGTTTTACAAGTAATAAGAAATTTTTATAGTCCATCAATCACGTCTAACGTCTTAAACTATCGACGCCTGAATATCTTCATTAAGAAAAATCAGCTTTAAATTAGCCAATGAATCTGGTGTTAATACGATAATAGCGCACTACATAATGTTTGAGCAACTAGCTCGAAAGTTGCTTGTTGTTTTCTTGCAAACTCTTATGCAACAAGAAACTGGATTTAGTAAAAGAAAGGTCAATCCCGTTGGGATTCATTAAACCGAAGTTACACTGGGAAACTTGCGTCATTAGTAACTCGCAGAAGGATGGAAACAGGCTTATACATTCATAGTTGTTCAATTCGCCAAGGTGCAACAGGGTGCCACAATATTATCGGATTGTCCAAGTACGAAGTTACTAACTCACTCGTTCTTTCGAGACAAATCAAAGATTTTATGATGTTTGTAGATTCCATAAAAAAATCTATATAGTATTACGAAGATTTTTCCATTCCGTATTCCATTACTTTTTCACTCTTTTTCTCCTCTTCTTTATTCCGGCAACGAATTTCATCGAATTTCATATCGTATAAATTTTGCATGCAAACGCGCAAAACATAGAAAGAACGTGTTTAAACTCTCTATTCTACTGATATAATTATTGTCGGTATTTTTTTAACAATTTAAACAATTTTGCAAATCAGAAACGGTAACTTTAAAAAACCTGACGTCCTAATAAAACACGCATTAAAAAGTAATTTAAAAAAGTTAAAATAGATTTTTCATCTCTCACTGCATTTTCTATGTTATATTAAAAAATAAGCATTTAGCATCGACATTTGCAGAAAGCGGCAAAAGAGAAAATGAGAATAGACGAGATAAATGGAATCAGCCATCGGCGCGTGGCTTATGACTCTACATTTTATGAGATGCACGCTCTCCATATTCAATTTTAATTGACGCTAGAAAATTCATTTCCATTAAATAATCCACTTCCATGAATGAATAATAAAATGTTTATAGTTTTACACGTGATTAAAAATGTTTGCTTAAGCACCGTAATAATCAAACGTATTTCTCTAAACGTTATTCTCTAGAAATTTGTAGCAACTGATTACAAATAGACTGATGTAAATTATAAGAAAAATTGAGAAGAAAAATTAATATACCATTTAATGCGCTACTTTTGTTTTTATTTACACACATTTTATTAAGGAATTATCTAAACGTAAAATATAGGCGTGGAAGACGGTTCTAACGGCAAACGCGAGTATACGAATCGTGCAGTGCTACAAGATAATAACGTTCACACATGTACACCTGTCGTATTGGTAACAATTTCAGCGTATCGCTCCATCGCTCGCGTTAATATTCCGGCAGATTTTCTGTAATATGGATATAGCGATTACCATCCACCATTCGGGCGGCGTCTGGTTTCTCGATAATAATTTGCGGCACGTATACGATACGCATCCGAAATTAGTTGCGCCTTCATTTTCCACGTGCTTCTCAATTTTGAACGTAATTTAGCAGCAGTCCAGCAAAATCGGAAAGCTCTGCGCCACCGCTGCGCCATAAATACCAAGCGGCTTACATCGCTCACCGTATCGATTTGCATCGCCGCACTCTCTATCGATGCTTCTATAAATTCTTTATTCTCTGAAATGTAACGCGCACTTTATTTTCCATATAAATATAAATCGCAAAAACTCGTAAGTTACACCGCGGCTTTAATAAGCGAGCGATAAAAAGTAATAGAAAAAAATATCGATTATTTGACAAAGGAGCGACAAAGTCGACTGGCGCGTCGTTAATCTTTAAATATCATTCACATGATTGTTGCGTTGTGGCAACAGAGAAACTCTCAGCCTGCTGCTAAACTCATGCAACTATTCATGTAAATTTAATGCGTAATAGTATCATTGTATTACAGCGTAGAAACTCGCAAGCTTGAAACTTCAGAATAGAATTGCACGGAAGCGAATAATTAAAATCGCTAATTGTACATTGATAATACAAAAGAGTTGTTATTATAATATAAAAACCATGTAGAAAAAGCATTGAACGAATTTTTTACCTAATATAAACATTTCTAATTCTTTTTTAATTTAAAAGTCCTATAGAAAAATTTTTTATATTTATTAATATTAAACAGGCCAAGCATTTTGTGGATAGATGTTTTTCTGTAGAGAATAAATTTCAAAAGTATAAAAAGCAAACTTCGGCGAACATTTGAAGCTTCTAGCAAAGTACTGCGCGTTAGAAAGAAAATTAAGACAAGAAAAAATGTTCTGTATTAGAAATGATGTTCTTTGAAAAGAACTCGCATATTAACGATGCAAAGTGCAGCTGCCGCTACGCTACACACGAGAGCATGTAAAAACCTTATGCGAACGATGCTTATTTCTCGACGCGCCGAGCCGTCGCTTTCTTTCTTTTTTTTTCAGTTTAAAATCCGCATCGGTGGAAGTTCACAGAGGAATGGAAATGAGACGTCGCACGCGACGTCGTCCATGCCACCCTCTTTCATTAGAGCGCCACAGTGCTGTTTGCCACCTCCGTTGTCGGGTTGTCCGCCCCACTTATCGCTCCATTTGGTATAACCGGTTTTCGCCAGCGAATCGCCGAGCACCGTGACCCACTCGCCTTCCTTATAAAGGTCGTGTATACCTAAGAAGGCTTCGTCCGGGTACGCCGCGCCCTTGATCGGTCCGGAGCGATTAAACAGCTCCATTAATACCTAAAAGAGGATTAATATTAATTAAACCGGTGGTATGAAGAGGCGGTATTCTGTGCATCGTAGAATGCATCGGTACATTGGGCATTTTAGAGATTTCGATGTAGAAAAGCACGTAGAACCGTGATGTTTCTCGGAATCACAGTTCTATCTTTATAAACGTTACTCAATACGATATCCCCCGCCGCCCAGGATGTCCCGTAAACATCTTCGCTCACACCGGGATATCGAAACAGATATCACATGTCGTGTGTACGGGGATAACACCCCGTGGCGGGGTCAACAACTCACATGCTCCTCGGCGATGGAATTGATAATGGCGAGGTGGCCACCCTCCTCGTTGCAGAACTTTCTCGCGTCGTTCCACGTGGCGGCCCTCGTGTGTAGCTTGTGCACGCCGATGCCCATCGTGTAATAATAATCGTCCCTCATCGTGGGATTGTGCGTCGGCACGCTACACGTGCATAGCATACCGTGCAGCAGTACATTCTGGCTGTGCAACTGCTCGAGATGCTGTCGCCTCTGCTGCGTCGCCCAGTCCGATTGTCCGGGGATCGTCGAGCTATTGACCGATGTCAAGCACGGACAGCCGGATTCCGGATTATTGATGCTCGCGGCCGCGTTCTGCGCAATCCCCCTTAAATTCGCGACGTCGGAGGACGTCGTGTGTTCAGGGGAACCGGTCGGATTCGGCGAGACAAACGACTTCTCGGGAATGCCGAGCAGCACGATGCAACCGATGAGTAAGAAGCGCACCATGATTTCTCCCCGCAAATTTGTCGCACTTCGAAGATTGGTCTGTAAACTGCTCCTCTGAGACCTGCGACCGAGCGATTATCAAGTTTCAAGAGGGAATAGAGATACTTTTAACGGAAATGGAGAAAATGAAACTATTTGTAACAATAATGAAGAAGAAGTAGACACATTATGCTTCCTGTCGTGATTTACTGGTCACTTTTTTAAGATTGATAAAATACGTCTTTGAGATTAAATATTCATCGCGCTTGAAAAGAACGGATAGTTTTTAATACAACAAGAAAAGATATCGATAACAAATATTTATACAATTGATAATAATTTATGCAATTGAAAATTGTACAAAATCTCGAAAAAAAGCTGAAACTTTACTTCAGATTTCTGATCTATCCGACAAACGTACGTTCTTCGAAACCGTACGAAAGAACACGTGCGTACCAAACCGAGATCAAAGAAGAACTAAGATTCCCTTGTATTTTCAGCACGACCCTCCGTCCCAACACAACTGTTCGGCATACCGAGACGGGCCAAATGGTCTGCCTGAAAGAACTGTAGCATATTGTATCATCAGCAATCGTTCAAGGACCGGCAGCAGTGGTTCGCAAACTACGCGCGTTGAGACTTTCTTATTTTTTTCCTTCACATCTGCCTATAAAAAATCTGCCTATAAAGACTGAACCGAATTTTCAAAATATTTTAAACAAACCTATATTTCTCGTTAACATGCGAATGTTCTCCTGGAAAAGTGAGAGACACATCGTAAATAGCAAACTGGCTAGGAAACATGAAATAATATAAAAATATCTAGTAACTAAAATTCAGATCGGAAATAAATATTTAATAAAATATTCAATATTTAAATATTAAATATTCAATAAAATTAAACATTTACTAGCTAATATCTTTGCGGCAAAATGGCGCCTATAAAGCAAATATTATAACACAATTATTGGAAACTGTTATGCATTTAATATTACGCGAGAGAGTCGCTGCTGTTCGAGTAAATGATAAGAGAGAAATCGCCGCCCCCTCGTTATGTCACTCACTAAAAATTGTCATCGCGTATAATTCATTTAATACACAGAAATATTATTCTGTATGTTATAATTTTAATGCGACGCATCAAAAATCGCTCGTCGGTGTGCAACAATCTTCGAAATGTGAAGAACGGTATTTTCTAGAGTATAAAATAATACATCCCATTATTTTGAAAAACAAATCCTTATCGTTTCCCGATTGAGCTACTTCTTATTCAACATTATGCCATTCAACTGCGCTTTGTATTGCGGTCGATACATTTCTGCTTTTCAGCGAGAATCGTGCGCTCGCATACGATATCTTGCAATTCGTATACAAACGCTATTCTTCCGGTGAATTTTCACGTAGCGCGTGGCGAGTATAAAATATAGACCAGCCACGCTCGAAGTTAATCGGAAGATTTAAGATGGGCCAACCTCTACCGTGTAAACGTCTCCGGAATATAGCACGGTAAATTTCCAGGTATACAGAGTCGCAGCGATTTTGTCCCCCGCCTTTTCTTTTCTCACAAAATATATATATATATATATATATATATGTATATATATCTGAAGAGCGGATCAGCGGCTTCAGTGGATTAGAAGAATATAAATTACGTACAGTTAGATAATTGGAAAAAGCATAAATTCCGCGTGGTATTAAATCGGATAGAATCCGGAATAGACGGAACACAATGCCGCTGTCGCGCAGTATGAAATTTACTTAATCTAGAGAAACGAGAATATTCTACATGCACAAACAGTACATACGTTCCGAATGTTTTACCATTATTTATTGTTAATTTCGGTAAACTGATCAAATATTTTTTTTCTTTGTTAGAAAGGCAAATATTTTATACCGCTTTAGTTTAGACATGAATTCAACTTTTGTCACAAAATCAATGTAACCGCATAATCTCTGCAGTAGATTAAATTGGTTTTGTATGATATCTCTATTAAGCTACTTTTATATGGCATTTCTTCTTTTTTCATTCGGAAATAATAATAAAATAAAAAATTTGCCTGACAACGAAATAATGTGACGATGTAAAATTTAATTTTCAGATGCGACTAAAGCCCTGCCTCGCAACCTTCTATCTCCTGTTGCTTTCAATCGTCTCGATCTATATCGTTCCCGCACTCAGTTCTAATATACGTTACAAGGTAAGTGCTGTACATATACACATTACGTAATGCTGTGTACATTTTATTAAAGTATTTTGCTGGTTTATTTCTATATATATATTTATTCGGAGAAGTTTATTAAAATATTTTGCTGTTTTACATCTATTTTAATTCGTAGAAATTATATACTAATTTCTGACACTATTATGTTAATTACATTGTCTCAAAGAGATTTTTTTAAATTATATACAAAATTACTTTAAAATAATGTTAATTATATATGAAGAAATGGAGAAATTGAGCAATTTTTAGGTCAGAAGGTAATTCAGCAATCGGACAATTAACAAGACTTTTCTCATTCCCATCTTCCAACTTAAATTGATCATAATTGCTGCAATTAGTTTTAATTCATTTTCACGAATCTCCATCATAATCGGTTCTTGAAAATTCTCTTTTTAATAAAAATCGACATTATGGACGAGTTAAATTTCATTGGAAAAATATAATTAATGTTACATTTAAACATTACACCGCATATATTCGGGATCAGGCAGAAGATAAATGGCTAAAATTAAACTGTTCCCGGCAAGATTTCAGCGCTCATCTCAATTTCAAGTCGCGACACAACTTATCGTCCGATTATACAAATCCCTCACGTCCTCGCTGCATCCTTGCAACGCGCTCCCGCTCAACGCCAGCATTATTACTCGCATAAACCTTTGTCTGAGAGCTGATGACCGTTAGATGAGTGCTCTTCTCACAGCAAATCTTCCTGGCTTTTCGCCAAGGGGCGAATATCTCGCGCGCCGTCCGATAGCAGCTGTAATCCGCATCCGTTTATCCGTGACACTGCATCGTATTTACCTGAACGAGACCGAGCATCACTGGCAGGGTCGGCGAAGGGTCGATGCGCATAACTCTAGCCGTGACTCAATCCGGAAACCAACGAGACCGCGTAACCGCCCCTCGTTTCCTCGCGCGCACGGTCAGCTTCCGGCGACTTGAAGCGATCCGGATTGTCGTCGACGAATAATGCGCGGGCAACAACGACGCGGAGAAGCTTTACATCCGTGAAGCACCCACGGACCATTAACTTTCCGCAGATAATGCGCAACGACTTTGCTAAATGTGGTCTTGATGTCCCGACTTTAATTCCGTGAAATCATGTCGTTAGAAATATGATCCTGGTATAAAGACGAAAAAAACGATCAAGCGTTTCCTCTCCTTTCATGAGAAACAAGGAATCGTAAATATGATAATTCATTTTCCTCGAAAATCACAAATGTTGCAAACATAAACATATATTTGGCCGCCTATCATCGCAGGAATAACATTATTTTATGAGATACTAATGTCTTATCGTATACGAGAAACGTCGTAATATTACCCTTGTAAAATTTGTTGTAGCTGCGCGCGTGACTTTATTCGACACGACACCTCTGAGATGTAACATTCGTCGTTTTCAGCGTTCGAGGTATCAATTTTTAGCAGATGATGATAAGAATGGCATATCGCAGAGCACAGGAGGAGTTCTGTCCATGACGCCAACTTCGGTAGATGATGCATCCACGGACTCGGAGAACTGGCAAATTCGCAAGAGTGAGTAACCGCTAAATCTCATTTCTATATATATGTTAATTAGTAAATTATACATCGTTGCGCAATTCGCGAAGTTTAATCGAACTGCATCTCCGACCGCAATTCACCGAAACCGTTTTGTACGCACGCATCTATGCCATCATTAAACCAGTCCGTACACCGCCAAAATTGTGTAAAACAGTAATCCTACAATCAATAAAATTGCAATGACATAAAAAACCGCGCACATGGCGAAGCTCTGAAAAATGCTCGCATCGCAACGCGAAATAAAAAAAAGAATAGCGCGATAACGATCGGTACATGCATGAAAAATGCTGGAAAACTAAAAATCAATTTTTTTAGCCAAAATATCAAAAACCAGCAAGTTTTTAACATTAAATTTAAAATAACTTTTAAAGATAAAATAATGTTTGCTATGTTTTAATGCTCAACTAGAAAAATCTGCTAAAATAATGTTTAATTTGAATAAAATGTAGAGCGAAATTTTATTATCTGTTTGCATCTCTGGAGTTTAATTTCCGAAAAAAAGCACCACAATTTTTATTATTTGCAGCTTAAAAACTAGATCTGGGACATTCTATATATGATATCGTCGGAATAATACTGCTGCATTTTCTGAAAATCTATTTTTGAGTTACATCCACCATCCAATATCTATCGACTGTGTGCCAATATAAAACTGTCGTAATTCCGAAATCGTAGGAAAAGAATAGCGGAGATAAGTATTCTATAATGACTCGGCACTTACAATAATATTCCGCGGATGCAATCTAACGGTTGCGCGGAATGATTTATTGCAACAAGATAGAATAGCCGCATTACCAGAGATGATTGGCAATTTTATCATGAATGGGCGCGTATTCGCGGCCCAAGATATTCCGCTTTCGCGCATATAAGAGCCTGCCATCAATCGCGCGTTTTCGTAACATACGGCTGACGGAAACGTTCGCGCGGAGATCGCCCGCATTCAAGGTTGCACTCGATATGCAACATATTTCACAGAATATATTCCGTGCTATATTTAAATCGCGGGGGATGCGATATTTTTCCGCTCTTTTCAGACGGCAATCCGTGCCTGGAGAAGTATTGCGGCGCGGGAAGAAAGTGCCAAGTTTCCGCGGACGGCGAGAGGATCGTCGCTGTGTGCGTCTGTGTTCCGAGATGCGCGCAGAGGCATCGACCGGTCTGTGCGAGCGACGGCAGGGTGTATGCGAATCGCTGCGAGCTGCATCGCGCGGCCTGCAACGCAGACACGCCGTTGACCACGCGAAGGCTCTCCAGATGCCTGAGCAATGGTAAGCACGTGCTAGACTAGACGACGGTACGTATTGTGAATGGCTCGACAATATGCCCCCCGTCTGACACACAGCGCGAAACGATTGCGTGTAAATTAGGGAAATATTTGTAGAATTGCAGTGATTAAAAATCTCTTTTCTTCGAAAGATTGCGCGCATAACAATAAACCATAACAATATTTGTAGTAATTAAATTATATGTTAAATATTTCGAGTTTTTAACAACTTAAAAAACGTATGAAAACATTCGAAATAAAAAGAAATATTTACATTGCTCTCTCTTCATTGCTTTTTCTTTTTTACTACGTGTTGCCTGGCACAAACAAAAGTCAGGCGCACCGTAAAAACATTTTGAATTCTAAACTGCATGCTTTCTAACGGAATCATTAAAAAAGGACTTTTAATGTATTTTGTATGTTCAGCTTTTTTTATCGACTTTAAAATCTGCATTAATTTTTAAATTCTTAATTAGCATTAAAGATGAAAATAGGAGATCGTAAGGAAAAGATCGAATTTCTTACAGATCAAAATTTGATTTCCACATTTTCGGTTTTACCGAAATAAATAAGTCGGTCATTGACTTCTCGATGTACATTGAACCATCTGTTAATTTTAATTGCCCGTCTATGTAATGTAATCACTTTCGAGAATTATCAGAACTCAAGCTTAATATCGCGGATGAATAAATCAAATCCATTAATATATCATTATCCGTTTTCAGATCTTAATCGGCAAATTACTAATGCAATTTAAACTTTTGCAATGTTAAAACAGGAATATGTCAATATATGCGAACGAATGTACATGATTGATCACGATATTCTTGGCGCAGTTTGCTAATACATGCAAACATAATTACGAAAATTTCTAATTAATCATCAGATTAAATATTAGACATGGCATAAAAGCGTATAAATCTTATGAAACTTATCAAATAAAGATCACCCAAATACTTTCTATACTTTTAATTCGCTGTTTACTTTGAGAGAAACCTCGATCTTTAGTGAATTCGCAAAACTTTGCTTTCATTATAAACTCAATAATAACTTCAAAGTTTTCTATTAATTTATGGCAGCCGCGCCGCTGCCCGGTTTGTTAAGAGTTGTAACGACAAAAAAAAATGATGTCGTTACATGGAAACTCGGAGTTTATGATGGAATGTTCCGTCATTTTCAGGTAATTACAGCGCGCAGGCACGGAAGGATTTCTTCGCGTACCATGCCCTATCGAAAGGCAAGAACTACACCAAGTTTAAGAATAAGATGAAGCATCTTCCAGCGAGCAAATCGATCCCGCGAAAGAACGCTATCGAAGAGTGTTCGGCGCAGGAATATGAAATTATGAAAGTATGTCACATCGATTTTATCCCATAATAATCTTCGATATATAGGATGCAGGAAAATTTAACGAAGATTTCTCGACGAAACAGGCACTCCTTTTACCTTCCCCTGAATTATTAGTGGATGATTCATTTCGTATTCTTCGGAGCTATATGTGTATATTCAAATATATCTTACAGTAAAAAAGTCGGAATAGAAATATGGAGCACACACAGAAATCGATTTGAATTTATTATTAATTCATAACACACACGAGATTCTTCTTCCTTTATTAAATAATGATAAACTTTAAAATTCAATAAATATCAAATAATATAAACTCATGTATATTTTCTAACTATTTATAGATACAAGTAGAGACGAATTTGAACATGAGTGTAAAATATAATGTAAATAAAATATACAATTTTTAAAATATTTTAATTAAAATTTTTCAAACATTTTGTTAAAAAATATCCAGAGGGACGAGAAAGAACCGTTGTTCATAAATTTAAATTGTAATTCATACAGCTAACATATGCAAGATCAACTCTGATATCGAAGCTATTTTACATAGAGTACAAAAAAAATTGAACAGAAAAATATCTCAACTAAAAATGTCTCTTTTTCTTGAATTAATTTATTATTTCTCATATATCTGCGGTAATATTTTTCAATTGTCTCTAATTAAACGTTTTTGATGAAAACATTATTACAACATGATCACAAGCTATCCTTTCATTTCTTTCTTTAATCGCTGCAGGACAACTTGCTCCTGTACAGTCATGCCAGATTAATGGCCGAGGATAATCACAGCAAGGAATACTTGGTCAGCATCATGTTTTCTCACTACGACAGAAACAATGACGGCAATTTGGAACGGGAGGAGCTCGAACAGGTGATTTAGCATTGGATGTATTTTTCCGTATAATGCTTCTTCATTAGCGTTTCCAGCCAAGTTTTAAATAAAGTAAGGAAGAAGTATTTCGGGATGAAATTTATTCGACGGACGTTACTTTAACGGCAGTAACACGATTTTTCCATCTATTCGTCCCGCGAATAATGCTCTTAACGGACAGTCTTCTCAAACATTCAGATCGCCAAGGAGGAAAACATGGAAGAGCTGTGTGCGGGATGCAATCTGAGCCATATGATCAGCTACGATGACACCGACGGCGATGGCAGATTGAACGTTAACGAGTTCTATACGGCGTTTAGCAAGCTTTACAGTAAGTATTATCCGCGATCCATTAGTCGTTTATCATGAGGGATTTACCTTTTGCGAGAGTGAACGACGAAGATAAATTATAACTATGTTAATAGCGTTCTATTCACTGTATTTTTCTCTCATTGTTAAACGGAACTCCCAGTCGTTCGTTTATTCATTTTTCTTTTTATATCGTGTACCGTTTTACAAATTACTTATAAGACTTGGAATAATGTGAAAAATAAATCATCTCGCAATCGGATAATTTTATTCCCCGCGATTTTTCGTTTGCTCTGACGTAACAATTAATCGTTGGCGGTAATTTTCTTATGGTAATTCATATTATAATGGTCTCCCTAGGACGCATTGTTCATGGACAATAGCGTCACCGTAAATTGTCAAAGTGCACACGTGACCACTACAGTGCCATCGCGCATATATAAACGACCGCGAGGAATTATTATGCAAAGTTTGTACGGCGCTCCGCGAACGATCGCTATTCAATTTAGCCGAAGTGTAACGTGCACATAATAACGCGAAGGCGGTCCTGATCTGTACAGGTGTATCAGTGGTATCGCTGGATAAATCCCTCGAAGTGAATCACATATCCGCGCGAGTCGGGGACAACGTGGAGATTAAATGCGATGTCACCGGAACACCACCCCCGCCCTTGATCTGGCGGCGTTATGGCACCAACGTAGAAACGCTGAGCGAGCCGGAGGTATCCTGATCGAATGATAATGTTAATCCGATCCCTTATCTCTCGCTGTTAATCCTCAAAGCGTGATATCGGTCTGCAGAGCAGCTAAATAGGATCCAAAATTACATCACCTTAATTCTCCCATTTTAATAAATAATTTTCTTGAAAGAGACTTTTGTCTTTACAATTTTTTAATTTTACCTTTGCTAATATGTATATTCTTTCAAACAGTTTACAATTGAAATACAATTTTTTATTATTTTTAAATTATTACCTTCTTAAAAATAATTAAAGATTTTTATTTTCTCGTCCAAAAAGCATCACGTTACGTCTTGAGGATTAAAGTAATGCGAGGTAAAAACTTCGTAGATTCGCGTTTTCAACGACGGTAGCCTCTATCTGACGAACGTGCAGCTGGAACATGCTGGTAATTACACGTGCCATGCTCTCAGGAATCAAGATGTAGTACAAACGCACATGCTCACCATATACAGTAAGTTTTATAACTAAAAAGTGAAAATATAATCATAAATGATAAATTATATAAATGCATTTATATCACTTAAAATGCAAATAAAATTCACACAATTTGCGTACGATAATTTATGCATTATACTAAATTTTTCAGACTCCTAATTGCTTTTTTCGCGCACACTCTTTGACACATTTCGAATTTTTTTTTTTTAATGACAATTTTCTTTTCTCCATATTTTATTATTAAAATAGTCAGGTTAGCCAAATAATTTTAAAAAAAAACACAAAACTCCTTATCTCAGCCATTCCTGAGGTCAAAGTGACACCACAGTTCCAATCCAAGCGACCAAAGGGGGCGGCAAAGATGAAGTGCCATGTCGTAGGCGAGCCTCTCCCACGGGTGCGATGGCTAAAGAACGACAAACCCCTGAGCGAGAATCAGCCGGACAAGTACGAGGTGATCGGGAACGGTACTAAGCTGCTAATCAGGAAGGTCGATTATGCCGACACCGGTGCATACATGTGCGAGGCGACCAGCGCCGGGGGACTTACGAGAGACATCAGCAGTCTAGTGATCCAGGCGCAACCTACGCCAAGTAAGAAAGGATCTTCTGCTCTAACGAAGACTCTAACATAGCATATTATTCAATTTAATAGAGTGCTCGTCGATATAATTGTCATTATTAATAATTACACCTAATTTGATTAGATAATTCTATTTATTCCGTCTTATCGTACAGTCGCGATGGACGAAGAGCGCAGATTCCTCTCCTTTCACGAATGGGGTATTTTAGTATACGAGCCGTCTACATGTCACGCGTTACACGAGATTCACTCCACAGACATCATACCCGGCACTCAGGTGTGCGAAATCAATATATTTTCTTTCTCCTTTTGTGACGCGCGCGCGCGCGCGCGCGCGGCTTCTCGTTTAAAGTTTTTACATCGTCGCACATCTTTTTTTATAGGAATACGTCTGCGGACCTAAAAGCGTACCGTGTTCCTGGGGACGTGCTATAAACGTCGTTAATAGATACGTGTACGTCAGTCAGCCGGATAAGGATCGCGTGCTTGTAATCAGCGAGGCGCAAATGATGATAATCGATGTATGTATTTTTACTTCCGTAGCGAGATCGAAATCCAGGCGCCGTCGAATAATCTCAATGTGAATATTCAGGTGGTAGCTACAGACAAGAATCCCGTAGACCTGTGGTACGTAAAGAATCTTGATTACGTCTGGATATTGAACTGGAGGAGCGAGATGGACGTCGGCATCAAGACCGTGCAGATAATCAAGGAAGCTGCTCAGCGAAAGAAACACCATACCATGCGACCTGAACCCATCGATGCGCAGTTCGATCTCGTGAAAGGCCTGTACATTCCGCAGCAACGAGTATGTTTACTTTTATTTGAATCTGTACAAAATTTCATCTCGAACCTGATCAATTAACTCTCACATTAAATTCTCCGGCCAATTTAGATTTTATTGCGATTTACGAAAATTGTATTATTTATAATTGTAGATTTATTTTTTATGAATTTATTTCTTGAATAAAGAAGAAAGAAAGAGATTTGCAAAACAGATCGTTTAAGAAATGTTCAAAATATATTTATGTACGCAGGCAAGGCTCGGAAATTTGAGCCTAGAAATCTAATAGTGTATCGATAGCATTTGTGGTAACTAATTGTGTTGTACATGTTACAAGGATACCAAACATACATTCAAGTACGGTTACGTGACCCATACGAATCAGCACGGAATGTACAAGCTCGATCTGGCCAATATGAGATACACTCGCACCGTGAATCTGGCTAATTACAACTGCGTACCAACAAGCGTCGAATTCTCCGATCTTTGTACGTAACATTTATAATCACTTTGGTGTTCTTTTTTGTCTTGCAATTTCGAACTCGCCATTCATTCCGAACCCATCGGCAGTAAAATTCTATTTCGTTCCAGACGGCTTTGTGATACTTGAATGCGAGGAACCGATCACCGGACGTCCAACCGGTCAAGTGCTATTAGACTACCTGACTGACAGCGTTCTTGCTCACAAACCGAATATCCTGGGGAAGCCGGCGATTTCTCCCGATTCCAGATACCTCGTCACTCTCGACAAGCAAGACACCGGTGTCACCCTCGTAGTGCAAGAAATATTACGTAATATACCTCGTATATTCTTTCTGTGTTTAATAGAATTATGTGTCTAACGAAAAAAAAAAAACATCTTTGCGTCGTACTTTTTCAGCAAACGGACTGAAATTCGCATTCGACGTGAAGACGACTTTAAACATCAGCGATATTGCTTTCTACCCGTCGCAAACGACGCATAGCTACGACATATACGCTTCGTCGATAGACAAGGAAGACATTCTTTTTCTCGATTTAACCACTGGTGAGATAATCCTCCTCGATTTATCCGAATTAAATATTTTTCTGCTTTTTTTAATCCCTTTAAAAAATTAAAAATTTTTTTATTTGCTTTTTTTTTTTGCAAATGTGTTATTTCTTTTATATATAATTTTGACAGAATAAACTTTTTAAATACGAATTACAAAGTAAAAATTAAAATATCTGTCTCTGCAGGAAAAGTGGAAATGATAACAGGCGTGGGAAAAGCAACACCGCCGCACCTCACCAAATGGGGTAATCCGAATAGACCGATAATACAAAGCGGTATATTTGGTCGATACATGGTAAGCCCCTCCAACCAAGCGCTCTTTGTTCTCAACGGGGAAACCCGTACAGTGAATTGCGAGATTGGTGGCCTTATACATCCCGGCGCAATTGTCTGGTTCACTGTTTCGCTGCGTTAACGAATGTAACTTTGCGACGACGACAATATGAGACGTACGTATATAAATTGAACATAGGGATCCAAGCTGATGTACTAAAAGCAGGGCATCGTGAAATTTTAGACGAATTTAAAGGTACATACGTAAACCCGACGCCATGAATACCTTCATCTTTTCTAGATAGATATTTTTACATTGAGATTGTTTGTAAATTGAAAACGTCATTTTCAAACAGAGATATTACATTATATAGATATTATCTAAACCATATAAAATAATGTAATAAATTTAATGGAAACTGTGTCATGTGATTCAAACAAAACAGATTGTATATTATTTTTCGAAAAACAGTCTACACTTTTAAAATTATGGTAATTATTGAAAATAAAATTTAAATACTGAATAAATAACTACTGAAATAAATATTGAATAAAAAAACAGTACAAATGGATAATACAAAATAATTTCGTTAAAGATAAGTCAAAATATTCGGTAAAATTTCAAATCATTTAAAACAAAAACTCGCACAAACAAATTTTATTTTTCAAAATATCGATTTCTTTTTCAATGAATAATTATCCTGCACACGTTTGTATTATATTTTTTGTCACATTCTGCATATTATTCTCAACACATATCATATGTCAACTGCCAAATATTACATACGAAATATTATTGCAATTTTCTTGGTTTGTGAATAATCGTAATGTGCCGATTAATTTAAATCAGAAATTGAGACAGATATATTTTTGGCATAGAAGATTGAGACGCTTGAAAATTAATTTTATCGATATTTGAGACGCTGAGAAATAATAACTAATGTAAGCTATTAAAAATGATTAAAGTTCTGCTTCGCGTATCCTCCGATTAACATCGGAAACAATTAAAATTACAGCGTTTTCAATCCTTTATACGATATATTCATTCTGGAAACATACTTGTCTAGAAAAGATGAAGGTATTACGTGTCGTAATGTTGAGTGCATGAAAATAATTTACGATAAAAAAAACGTAAACGACGAAAAGATGGCCGTAATAGAGAAGCAAGGGTGGAGAATAATGATAAGCTATACATAACGTAAACATAATAATAAATATAAAAGTGTAAGCAAGCTACTGTTAAATATACGACGGAATGCGCGCATATTGAATAAGCCAAAAGAGCACCAATAAGAATGGTCGGTTAAGAGATATTGTTAAATAACTTAACTTCTTTTCTAAATACGAATATTATTTCGTCGTATATAATTATCTTTTAGGTATTACATAATATTAAAAATTTTAAATGCTGACAATTTTGTGTCAAAAGTTAACTAGTTAAAAGTTAATAATGAGAGAATAGTGAATTGCTAGTAAATAACCGCTTTAATTCGTAATTGTATAATAATTATTATATGACTGTATGATAATAGATATTATTACGTTCTCAAAATTTAAGAAAAATGTATCTAGGTAATTTTTCTTATATATTCTCTGATATTAGAGAAAATGTGATTATTTAGCGTTACAAAATTATTTGCTAATGCACTTGCCCTACAATAATACCGAAATGTTGAATGTACATATTGCACATTAGTGCATTCTAAACGTGCATCACATATAAGCGTATAAAAGCGCATGAGAGCCTCGCCAACGAAATGTGTTTGGCATAAGTTATTATATTGTTGAATAAAATTTATGTGTTGGTTATTCGAATAGTCAAGACAACACTTACACATTTCTCATAGGTCCAGGGTCCAGAAGTAAAACTTGACAACCGTCATTCGTTCACAGTGGAATCCCTGCATTTTCCTCACTTTGGTTTCCTGTTCTTTTGCATTACTTCTCTTGCGCAAAAAGAGAAGTACGTGAAAATAGCGAAACTGAAGTCGCAAAAAAATGCAGGCTACATGTATCTGATGCCGCGCTCTAACGTTATGGTAGCGACATCTCCCATTAATTCTGCAAAAGCTGGAGTTGCAGCTCTACAGTTCTACATTATCATCTACTTAGCCTGCTTTCTTCTTTTTCATATATCGATATAGTCGCTACAAATTTGATAGAAATAATGGATGTCACTACAATAATATTAAAGTACTGCACAAAAAATATGACAGAGAAATATGATTCTTTAGAAAGACATAATTATTTTATGTACACATAATGTTATTACGTAAAACTCTTTTTAAATTTGCATAACTAAAAAACTAGAAATACTAAAAGATATATTGTGTACAATGCGTTAACAATATTTTACTCTCCAAAGAAAAAGCATATCAAATCTATGCAGAATATCAGGAAAATCTGTGAAATTATTTCTTTCTATTTCTACACAGCAAGATAAATCTAGTTTTTAGTAAGCTTTTTATTTTAAAGTTAGTAACAAAAATATAAAACATTTATTTTGTTAATTGATAATAGAAAAAAGATCTCAAATAAGGTAAAGTTAAAAGTATATATTATTTAGATAACATTAACATTAATAACGTAGAGATAAAAATATTTTTACATCAACATCAATAATGTAAAGATGAAAATTTAAAACTGTTCCTTAAAAAATTTACATTATGACGGCTCTCAAGATTTTTCCCTTGACCCTTCATATGCATTATGAAGAAATTATGTGATGATCTTAGTGTGCGCCAGTGAGCATTAGTGCATCAAGAGTATGCTATAAGACTAGAGAAGAACTATTAGATTTTCTTCTAACGATCCGAGTAAACCGTTATAAGTAGTAGCGGTGGTAGTAGCATTCTTTTATACCAAAGATGCCGCGAAGTTTTACGTCGATTTTACAATATTCGTCAAATAGAAATGTTTGAAAGCTGGTTACGCAATCAAGTTACAACGTAGCCTATTATGACAATTTATAGCAATGCGTAAACCCGCAAAAATACATCAATGTTACATCAATTTAATTTACACCAATGCTGCGTTGATGCGCGTACGCATGTTGGACTGCGATTAGTGTCTTGTAACAAAAAATTGCAATATAACTAATTTAATAAATAATCCATAAACATAAATGTGTGCTTCGTAAAATGTTTATAGCGTCTACCTCGCTTTACAATTCTGCTTTCCTATTCGTTTGTGTTGTATTAAAATATCAGATAAGCGCAAGTTGAACAATCTGAAATTGAGATTTCCAATGTGTTCAAACGAAAGAAGTACTAGTCTTCTTCATGGGCTACGCTGTTTTATGTAAAATTTCTATAAAAAAGGCGCATTCTAATTATTAAACATACTTACGTAGTGTAAATATGTTTTTGCATTCCATGCTAATGTGAGCATGAAATGCATATTAAAGTCTTGTAATAAAACTACTAATAATATAACTAATTTAAATAACCATAAACATAATTGTGTATTTCATAAAATGTGTATATTCTGCTTCGCTTTACAATCTTTTTTTTCGTTTGGATGGTGGAATATCGGATAAGCGCAACACTTTATTGTTGATAAGCAAAATCCATCTGCTCCGATAAAGAAAGGAGCACGGTGGAACATAACATTTCGCTGTTTGATGAGTAATTTAAGTTCGGTTTCAAGTATGTGACGTTCACCTTTATTCACTAATAAATTATGTGTTTAGTAGAATTCTTGAGCTCTACATTTAACCATCTACTGTACAAATTCGACATACGTTTGCAATATACGCAGTACAAATACATTCAGTTCTTTCTGAAATAGATCAGGCCTAAGTTGGTTAGCGCAAACCGCTACCGAAAGAGTATCCATCACGATAGTATTCATCGAAAAATCACATAACCATCACGAAGAAAAAAAAACGCACAGGCAACAGCTATCGATATTTCACATAATCAAGCGCAAGATCGATGTGTACATCAAGTACACATATTTATCTCATTCACAGACATAGTATGAATAAACGGAGCGTGCCGTTGCTAAGTTGACGCCAGCAAATAATGGAAGTGAAACGGAAGAGGAAGTGTATTCTCTTCACACATGTACAATTCGTTTTATAACCGATTATTCGCTGGCGTCGCGCTTTTCTGTTGGGTAGAGGTGGGCAATTCTCCGTCTATTCATACTGCGTCCATAATTTCATTGCACTTTTAAAGATAACTCTAGCAGAGGCAGAAGGGGAGGTAAATGCCCACAGACAGAAGCGCAACAAAATGGACACACGAAGGGAAAAATTGCGAAAGTATAAAGTACCCGAATAATTCTTCGTAGTGGAAACATGGAAGAACGCAAACGTCATTTTTCCCGTGCGCCACACTCCGTCCTCTCGTCACTACCCCCAATTGTCCCTTCTCCGTCTGATCGATGTATTCTACCGGCTATCTAGTTACATACACCACTTGTTATATATTGCACGGTTTCAAGTTGGTCCCTTGTCGACTATAAAACAATATATACGCATTGCTAAAGTCCTCATCCTGCGGCTTTTGTCTGCTCGTTATCTCGTCGTTGTAATAATACCAGACATCTGTGCGAGGATTCTTCGCATATGCCGTGTAATGACCCGCAGACACACCTAAAATTTCATTCGTCAATACGAAACGGACATTCGTAATCTTTGCATATTCAAATTTCCAAAAATAAAAAACATATATGCGATAAAATCCTATTTTCGATTATCTTCAGAATGCATACTCCGACTGTAATTCTTCCCAAAATAAATAATTCAATTGAAAGGTCATTCATCATTTTTAGACTGAACTTACGTACCTCCGAAGTGACACACGCAGGCATAGAGATCATAAAGGTGGCGTCCTACACTTAAACCCACCAAAGGGAATGTAACTTTGTCATCTAATTTCATACTCGCGCACTCGTAAAATACAAATCTATAATTAAAAACGATGCATCAATGATTTTATCTATATCGATAAGATATTTATAATTTATTGATTCATAAAGCACTTTTTGCGTGCGACATATCGTACGTACCGTTTAAGATATACAATAAGGAACTTAGGATATCGGTGTACCGTGAGCGTTTTCGTGGCACACTGATTACATCCACATTTTGGACAAAACCAAGGATTGTGTTCATCTAAAGTTTCACTGAAAAAAAAGTATCAAAATTGTGATATTTAGACATAATAAATATAAATATATATAACGTGGCTAAAAATGTTTGAAATTAATCTTAATAATTAATTAAATCTTATGACAAACTTTTGTTTTTTATTGATTTAGTCCTGGAACTTTAAACAATAATGTGTATTCTAACATATATAAAATAATTTTCGACATTACATTCTCTCAAGAAAATCTATAAGGTGAAAATCGAAGCAACTCGGGAAATATCAATTACCTCTGACTAAACGCTTGAAGGCAATCATAAAGAGATAATGGATGATGCGGCCGTTGTTTACTGACACTGACGTGATCGATGGGATGCAAAACCTTAGGAACATACTCGGTATAACGAACCGCAAGCGTGTCACCGTTTTGTAGCGCGACCATTCCCGTCTCCGGCACACTGCATCCCGTACAATGTGCAGTATACATACATCGCGAACAATGATGACCCTGCGAAAAGTTTTCGTCTTTTTTTATAATTTGCTATAGCAAACATACTTAGTAGCGCTACAATTCTTGCAGCTCTGAATGTTAAAAGCTTTGTCCTGCATTATTATTTCATAGAAATGGGATATCTTTAGTCACCTTTCTGAATAATTGATCACTCAACTGATATGACTGAATGATGAATCAATTGTTTCATTGATAAACAACGCGTTACAATAATTTTTCACCTTGTATCAAAAAAACTAACTAACACATTCTGTATATTATGTTAAATAGATATCTCACCTGTCCATCAACGAAATGAATCGTGTAGTGTCCTTCGTGCGGCACGTTTCTCTTAACAATATCATACAAATCCCGTGCGTTCACTCTCGACGGGAGTCGTATCAAGTGCGGAAAACCGAAGAGCTTTGTGCCTTTCCGGTTATTCGTCGTCTCGTTCGTCGTATCGTGCCTCAGCACCAAAGGTACATTCAAGATACGCACAGTGGGTCTCGGTCGGCCGGTTTGATCTATTTTCGTGAATGACGACGCTGTCATGTACGTGGCACACATTGGACACGTTTGAGGTTCTTCCGTTTGATTCTTGAAGTAATTCTGTTATACATTCAATCACAATTATATTCTGTTACACAATTACAATTCTGAGAGTAAAAGCTTCAGTTTTGACGAAAATTATTTCAAGCTGCGTGATAATCCGGCGCGATTGAGAAGACCATTATTTTTACTTGAAATAAAATGAACTTGATTGACAGTGAAAAATGATGCCCTCAGTAAGCGGCAGTATCAGATTAGTCTGAATTGAGTTCCAAATATGAACTATAAGGCTTGCGGATTATACTAAAAAGGCGGGTCGTACGAGATTCCATTTTTACGTTTCCAGTCGCCTCTGCTTTGAAAAAAGCGTCCCTGACATTTTGGAGAACGCAAAACTATTTCTGGTTCTCATACGTATCATTGCGACACCGTCCGTCTAGAACGTTTAGCGACCTTATCTCAGACCTTCCCGGGATGAGAAAATGGCAATATATGCCTCGCTCGTCCACCCCTTCCACTAGATTGACACTGCCGCATTCATTCATCATTGGGGGATAATTGATTGCAATTAAATTAGAAAAAAAAGGAAATAGCGAATTTATTCAATTATTGATTCGATTATTTATTTAATTATTTATGAAACTAATATGACTTGTATATTAATCAAACTAAAAAAAATTCTTTTTAATATTGACATATTCACTGTCATTTTAGACATATATGCATTCATGATCTCATCAAAGAATATTGGAAGATACATTAAAAAACATAATAACATATTTAACTCGATTTTTGCTTTACAACATTGAAAAAAAGTATGTGTTGAAGGATATTCTCTAACAGAATCTTTAATTATGAATAAAAAGAAGAAGTGATGTGTTAACACACTAATTTAACATATTAAATAATTATGATATAATTTACAGTAAACATATTAAATTACTGTTACTATTAGTTGAGAAATTTCGTTTATATTTAAATGATGTGACAGACTGACCTCGATGCACGGATCGCACATGATAAAATTACAGCTATTCCCGCTGTGTCGCTTCAAATCGCCGTCTAGCTCCTCAAGACAGATCATACACGGCACTTCCTCACCCGTGATCGTACATCTCTGGCAAGAGTCCGTTTCCGCCGGGCGATCTCCACCGCCATCAGACACTGAAGTGTATGCATCGGGAGGTTCCGTGAGTTCAAAGGCGTATATCGATCGATTCGTATCATTGACGTGTCTCAAGAGTGTATTGTCGTCCTTAAATTTAAAACCTTGATGTAGAATCCAACAGAGAGTGATGTTCCCGCCTAAGTACGATAAGCTACAGCAAGCAAGTAATTCCCGATACCTACGGTGCAAGGGGAAAATAATATAGTCAAAAAGCAATAGCGGTAAAAGACCGGCAGCGTTCACGAAATTATAATGGAGAGAGAAAACGTGAAGGAGGGGAGCAAGGGAGACGAAAAGAAAAAGAGAACAAAGAGAATAGTGAGTTTGTACGGCGAAATGTAGCCCCGTAACTATATTTTCGCGCTACGAGAATGTTCTTCCGTAGAGTTTCTCTAGGAGAGTAGTATCGGCGATAATCGATACTAATCGATATACCACCTTCTTAACTCTCCACTATTATTTCCTAATAATAAATTATCTCCCGATTCATATATATATAAAGCTGGATTGTGAAACGAAAATTAAATCTTAGATTGTATATACATTTGTTATAATCAAAACTATAATATTTTTAAAGACTATTGGCAACGATATATTGAAAAAAATAATATAAGAATTAAAAGCATGGACTAATTTACCGCAATCGTTATAATTTACAATGACATACTTTGTTAAAATCAACTTATATTAGAAATATAAGTATATTTGGCGTACCTACCAGAATCTTCGCTATATGGTTTTCTAAAACCTCCGCGAGTGCGATATTAGTCACTGAAACATTCTCCTTGCCGAGCGTCTTTAACAATTCCTCTTTCAGTTTCCCAATTCGCGACTGTTTGTTCAAGGAAACGACGCATCTTATAGGCTGGTCACCATTTGCAGGAATATACGTGACATTCAACTGCCTCTCCATGGCGTGAGGTAATGGTACAGATAGATACATAAAAGGTTCGTAGGTAACAGAAACGTGATTACAAACCGAACATACGACCTAAAACATAGTTAAATTGTAAGTGACATTCAGCAGATGATGTTTCAAAATGATGAAACGTTCAGATCTTTTTTCTCTCTATTAAAGTTTACTTGAAATTAATTACAAAACATAGTTCTATCATCTATTTAATTATTTTGAAATTATTAATGTTTTAGTCTGAGAAGAAACAAATTTCAATAAAATTATCTTGTGATAATTTAACTTAAAAAAATTGCACAAACACTATAAAAGTCTGCAGAAAAGTAACAAGTTGTAATAGTAGTATGAATCCTGCCCCTTACGTTTTCCGAGGCAAGAAGGAAATGCTACTATAGTTTAATATAGGAGACTTTTTACAGCATGTACCGATAGTTAGCGGTATCGCTCCAACGCGTAATCTCCCGCAAATCGATATCACTCGCAATCAAATCCTTACCGTGCTTTTAAACTGGCCCTGAAAAGTGTCAATAATGATACTCCTGTTGGATCGCAAGTGCTTCACCCAGTGTTTATCCGCCTCAATCTCGTCCTGCGCGGCAATAGCGCCATTTCCATAATTCTGTGAAATCCGCGAGCACTGGGTATTCTCGCTGCTAAGACCGTCGTGTTTGTGATTCTTCTCCTGATCGTCCAATCGCATGCGTTTTACGTTACACTTTTCCAGACCGCTGTCGTACTCGATGTCGGAGCCGCTCGACGCGTGATCAAGACTGCCGTTGACCTTCTGGACATTCACCTCCTTTATACGCTTGATACTGACGCTCTTATTGTCAAAGTCATGATTCTCCATTAGGTTCGAATTGTCTAACGGCGTCCTGCGAACATTATCCTTCGGAAACTTCTGCGAGTCGTAATGAATCTCGTTATTACACTCTTGTTGCGTTACTAGGAAATTGGCATTACTGGTCTTAGCCTCTTTGTGAATATCGTATAGACCACCATACTGCGGCACGCTTTTCGACAGTTCAATCAAGGTGTCCAATCTCAAAGATCGCGTTTGAGTGACGTCATTCATGCCTTCCTCATTCACTTTGTTGTGAATGAAAGTATTCGACCTCGCCTCGATGGTTTCATCTGAATCTAGCGTTTCCTCGTCATCCTCGCCGTTTAATGGCGAATCTCTCGGTGAATTCGTGATACTATCGAGTTCACCAATCGATGAATCGAAGTCTGACAAAACATTGAAAGAAATGATATCCAAAATCACATCCAACATAACATCTATAACTCAATGTGAATTATGCAGATTCTTACCTCTTGGTGAACCAGCCATAGTTACATTGGGACTATTTGGACATTCCGGAGATAAGCACTCGTACATTTCCAAAAGATCCGGATTACAATTGGAATTAGCCATGGCAGTGACAGAGGAAAGGGTCTTTTCATTTGAGTTTTCGATAGAGTTAAAATTGGCAGTGGTTGTGGATAGCGGAACTTGACAATTCTTGGCACACTTTGCTGTATTCATTTGCTCATGAAGAGAATCCAATAGAAGCGCCAGAAATTCTTGACAGTCGTGCTGTTAAATAAATATGATGCAATCTTGTACCAGATAATAAGTGATAAGCAAACGATCAAATATGCTAACAGTTACGTACTCACCTGCCTATAATCCTTAAATTGTGAATGGTAAGCTCCTAAAGTCTGTTTAAATTCTGTTGGTCTGAGAACACTATATCTCCCAGACCACATTTTCCCAAGAAGTACACTAAAGTGTGCCATTAGCGACCCAGGTGGAGGCAGTTTTTCTCCTCTCTGCTGTAAATCCAAGAAATGCCGTAGAACAGGTGGAGTAGCTGTCAAACATTGCAACCCTGCTGCCATAAAACAGGTATTACCCAAATTACGAAGACCACATACACCTGCAGGCAGGACAACCATCTCTGAAAATATTTGCAGAAAAGGTGTGAAAATGTGCATTGTCATTAATATTTATATATTTTGGGGATTTACATTACACACTTACCCATTGGCGAATCATCATGGGAGTCTCCAGCTTCTGCGAACAAATTGTTAAGCGCTGGTGTGCCAGGTGGTAGAAACGGACCATGCTCTATGCCCGTCCCAGAATCACTAATTGGATCGGCGCCAACATCCGAGAAATCATTTAATCCAGGTGGCGGAGGAAGAGGAATTGCATAGTCTGACGTTGAACTATTTGCTTCAGTCCTGAAACAATGCTTAGATAATTAGACCCTCCACAATCATAATAAAGTCTTAAAGAAAATATTTATACCATGTATCCTCAATGCCCATGTTAACTTCAGACGAAAGAGCTTTATCTTCTTGCAGCGTAAGAGCCTGATCCAAGGACGAAGTTAAGGGGCTAAGGCCAGTTGATTCTAATACCTCCGATATCTCTGGGACGTCAGGCAGATGAAAAATTTCAGATGTTCCAATCATTGAAATATTTTCAATTTCCGAAACATCCACCTTATTGTCCATTCAGATAACAAGACACAGCGTACAATCTAAAATAGGAGTAAATTAGTCCTGAATCTTAATAATTTATTCATAGTCCTTTATTCAGATCATATTTTCTGAATATTTGGTCAAGTATTTCAATGTAAAAATATTGTTTAATAAATTTATGTACACAAATAACTTTCATAAAAAGAAAAAATATATTCTACACAAAATATTTATCCAATAATTATGCTTGTAATCACATATTCACACAATACATATATCAATATACAATTATAGCAATACAAGCATTTCGTAATATTTATTTCTCACGGACTCACGCTAATTGATTTCGATGACTGATATTTCTAATAATAGCGAGACAAAGAAAACATAAGTAAGATACATTAGACTTATTGTTCGAGGCGGGAAAGATTAGCATTGTAACGGAAGTTTATCGCTTAATTACCGATATTGCAATCTGGATGGAATTACATTATTTTATTGCAGCTTGCGATCACAGAATGTAACACGATCAACTGCTTCTCGCATAAGAAAATAAAAAAAGACAACAAAAATTTCGCAAACATACACTTCGATCACACGACTTTGTATCGTCCTAACCTGATACGCCCCGATTCCACGCGATCGTACAATACATATCGTCCCGCGTGCAACACATCTCCATCCCATACACAACGGACGATTATTATCAGTATGCCGGAATTTTTTCACAACAAATGGATAAGATTCGCGCGCGAAACAGACAAATTCGTTCAATATGGAAGAGAACGAGTTCTCGAAAGTACGGATGGGCGGTAGAGCGGACTAAACTTATCGCAAAGCGCGGGCGCATCGTGACGCCGCATTATCGCATACTCGACGCCGACAACGCCGTCGCTGACGTCGACGCCGCTTCGAAGTGGTCCGGAACACGCGAAAAAATCACGAAAATCCGCCGAGATCAGCTACTTACACCGTGAGAAAGCGTGCCCCGCGCCCCGAGACGTCTACACCGCCATTGCAGTGCACTGTATAATCGGTAGATGCGCGCAGAACGAAGATTCGTCTACGGCGTCTCAGGAAATGAATGTGTTTTTGAATTCTCGGCTGGAGAATCACGGAATCTACACAACACTGCCGGAACAATCATGGCGACCCCGCTTGACGACAAACGGTATCGACAGAGAGGAAAAGAGACAGCGTGAGACGAAGATCCGCTCGGAACGCCACGCATGCGTGTGCACACGCGCGCCTAATCACGAATCATCGTCAGCACATTAAAAACATAAAGGTACCTTTTCACGCTCGACGTTCAATTTCAGCGTTAGAAAATATCAAATAATCAATAATAAATATTGCAACGGTAATAAAAAAAGTCTACAGCGTACAAACTTTGACTAGCGTAAAAAAAACACGAAAATAATATTCTTAAATATTAATTTGCAAATGACATACTTAGTACAACATTCACTGACATTGACGATATAATGTCTTTTTCATTATTGCTGCAGTATATTTGATCATATTAAAACTGGCAAATATTTTTGTTTTTGTTATATATTTTTTATATTGACATGATGAAATGGTAATATTTAGTGAGATTCTCTTGCATTCCCTAATATTAAAAAAACTAAAATCTATATTCATATTTTACAAATTTGTATTTTATAATTTTGTATTATATACCATTAATTGCCAGTGCGCCACAAAATTATGTATGACCTTTAGGTGAGAAACACAAATTTACCTTGGAATTAGTGAATATGGTTTTATATCTTTACAGGTGAATTGAATTCTAAATAGATGTCAGCCTCCTGAATAGATGAATTTAAATTTATCGTTTTACACACATAGATAGAACAGTATTGAACTGTATAGTCAGCTGTACATTTTTTATCTCAATAGTTAGGTAACAAATGTGGATAAAAAATTCATTTTAGTATATTTTTTGCTAGCGTATCACCGGTAAATAGTAAATTATGTATACACGTGCAGAATCAGCATGAAATATTCAGTACCTCGGATTATCTTCGAAAAATTACTCGTGAGAAAAAAAGCAATTAAAATATTTTTTGTCAATAAATTTTATCCTCTAATTTAATTTGCGCCCGCTTTCGGACGTTCTCGTAACTTGAATGCAGTTCAGCCACGCCGTCTGATGCACCGTATATATGTGCGCATTGAATTCACACTCGTAGTCATCGTTCGTCTTCGCTGGTAATAACTGCAGAATTACTCGGATGCGCGCGCATCGAGGATAAATTCCTTTCACTGCACTTTCGAAACGGCATCTCTGTCGCAGCGACTTTCGTTTCGACGAAGCGTTAATAATTCGTAGCCAATTTCGGCGTGATCATACGAGAAACGAAGAAAGTACGTCCTTTTCACGCGTGAAAATGTTTTTTTCCAAAGTATGTAAACGTATGAAACGCAATAATGTCATGTTTTTTGACACGTGAATTTCGCGCGTCACTTCTTCGAAGGTCATTTGTGTATCACACGAGATGGACTGAGTGAGAAAAAGTAAGCCGTACGAAATAGAGAGAGACAAACGATCACAATATCCCGTAAAGTATACGCAAAAGTCCACATTCGTAAATTTCACCTCGTGTTTGTCGTGCCGTAACATCAACCTCGGTGACATGAACAAACTGACAAGTCAAGATGAGGCCCACATGACAACGGTAAGATATTGTCGTAATCCATATTTTTGTTTTAAGTATACACACTCCATTGGTGAGAATTTAATCCCGAAGTCCCCATTCCATCGATGCATAGTGTAGAGACTATCTCTTCCGCAATCATCTGCAATCATCGCATGAAATTGTCATAAAATTTAAACAATATTTTTACAAAAATTATTTTAAAATACGTCAAATATTAACTCAGGTAATTAGATGTGTGACCTAAATGATTTATTTTATTATTTTTTTATTGTAAAAGAAAATGGCAAATAACTAGCTTCTCAAGTAATTTTGTAGTAACTTTAAGAGAAAGAGAGAGAGAAGAGGAAAGGAGAGGAGAGGGAGGAGAAGAGAATACATACCACTAACACACGTTTGTTGAATTTCCTTCCCATAGCAAGGCCAATTGATGGCCTCTCTTTGCTTTTAGTCCAGAACATATTTGAACCTGTTTTGCTCTCATACCTGTCTTTCTAAAAGCCGTTCACTAAGCACTTGCGGACTTCTATCCTATGACGTGAATGATCAAAGGTTAATGCAGTAGCATTAGAATAAATAAAGTTTAATTCTTTACAATATATAATCTTTGATACGCAAATATATAAACGACACTGACAGTCGTGCTAATTATATGATAATGTTCAAAGTTCAACACCTTTAATTACCAACTCATACATTTTCTTGAATATTTTGATCGGGAATAATCGATATTTTTTTTCCTCCAACTAAATTTCTACGAATCTTTTGAAATTGTACTCTGTTACTCTATTATTAACCAATCATTTTCTTTTAACTTTTTTTTTTAAATACAAATTGTTATCATAAAATTGTTGTCCTAAAATAAGTTTAGGAGTGACTCATCGTAAAGTTAACAGCGCGATTGCGATAGCTTTTATTGCTCTAATTTGTAATTACATATAATTGTTTCATAACAGACTATCACCTTCAATAACCGTCCAAACACGACCCGCTTTCGTGCCTCAGTGGAATTCCACTTCCGGAATAGGAAGCGTTATGTTTGGCACGATTTCGTCAGCTAATTAAATAAACACAAGACTTAATCGAATTATTCCGCTTTGAGATATCCGACAGTTGTACGTCGTAATGTCATAAATCTCATATCGGTGTCACACACTTTATCTTTACAAATCACATTTAATTTAATAGTTAATTTTGAGAAATTTATTACTTTCGAATAAGTGTAGTGAAAAGAACAAATCTTATATTTAAGCGTGAAAAATGAGAACTGCTATCACTTCAACAAATTTAAAGTTAAACTATGATGAAATATATTTTCTTAATTTTAATTATTCAACTTTTCAATGAAAACAATAATTATTGTTTGCATCAAATTCAATAGATTTCATTAGACAAACTAATTCTAATATAAGTTCTGTCTCTAAAAAATATTTTCTTTTAAATAAAAAATATTTATATTTAGACAATTTTACATAATCATATGCTAAATCATGCTAAATTATTCATTGATAAGAAATTATGAAACATAATGATTTTATATGTTTGCAGCCTGAACTAATTAAAGCACATGGCTACATAGCTGAAACTCATCAAATTTGGACAGAAGACGATTATTGTCTGAATGTGCATCGTGTGCTTCCACCGAATGATCAAATGCCATCGATGTTATTAAATATTGATGCCCCACACGCTATCATAGATACCAAGACAACAATTATTAATGATAACAAAAATAGTGACTTGTCAGCTTCCTCCAATTGTCACAGAGTCTTGGAAACTCTTGAATCTTGTAGTACAAATAATTCAAAATTACCAGTTATTATAAGCCATGGGCTCATATCAAGTTCTGCAGATTGGGTGCTGTTAGGACCTCACAAAGCTCTCGGTTAGTATTTTCTCACTTTCCTTCATCAATTTCTTTTCATTTTGCGTCTTTATTATTTATTTAATCATTCGATTATGAGCTTAGCAATCATTAGAGATTAGTGATATGATGATTATATATTTTTAAGATGTTATATACTTATTTTGTATCATATAATTTTTCACATTTCAGCATACACTCTTTGTGACAATGGATTCGATGTTTGGCTCGCAAATGCTCGTGGAAATACCTATTCCAAGTGTCACAAATATTACTCAACTAAAGATAGAGAATTTTGGAATTTTAGGTAATCAAATAACTTTGAAAAACAAACATGTAAAGAAATCATACTCTTGCATGTATAAACAATACGCACTTCTGTTGCAGCTGGCACGAGATTGGATACTACGATATACCAGCGATGATAGATTATGTCTTAGAGAAAACTGGTCATTCCCAATTATATTACATCGGCCACAGTCAGGGTACAACCGCGTTCTATGTTATGGGAAGCGAAAGGCCAGAATACAACGCTAAAGTCAAGACAATGATCAGTTTGGCGCCTATAGCATTCTTATCAAATCAAAGAAGCCCCCTTTTGAAATTGATCGTACATTTTTATAGTTTAATGGAGGTACTTTACCAGCACACACTTCTTGGCTCTTTCCTCATTTGACATATATTATTCACCGTGAACATGTTTCAGTGGGGATCCCATATTTGTAACATACATGAATGGTTTCCTCGTAACAAGTGGCAAACGCGTATAATGAGCACCTTCATGCGCAATGCTCCTTGCATGGTGACAAAAGGTTTCTGCAGTTGTTGGTTTTATCTTATCGCCGGATTTGGTAGTGATCAGCTCGATAAATCCATGTTGCCTTTAATATTCGGACATTTCCCAGCAGGCAGTTCAACAAAACAAATAATTCATTACAGTCAGATAATAATCTCTGGTAAGTAAAATAATAATATCGGATGAATGATATCGCAATATATTATATGTATGCATACATACCTCACTAAGCGCATTTCCTTTAATGTGCAAGTTTTTTCTAGAAAATAAAGTTTTAAGAAGTAAACAGAGGTAGCACAACTTATGATGAAATATTCTGTATATATCTGACATTTTCTTGTTTTTGTAGAATCTTTTCGGAAGTTTGATTATGGCTCTAAAGAAAATCTGGCGCTCTATGGATCCACTCAACCACCTAAATATAGACTTGAAAGAATAAAAGTACCTATAGCGATCTTTTATAGCGAGAATGATTTTTTGGCTGATTATGCCGTAAGTTCCGCAATTTTATGACAATTCTTTAAATGTTAACGCTGCATTGCATAAACATTGCAGTCTGTTGTGTCATTCTTCAATTTTAAAAATTATCTTTTCTTCTGCAAAGAATTAAAATCAGAATATGCAAGCAATGCAGAGTTAAAGTTAATTAAATTTTTGCAAAGTTTCATGTTTTATTACTGTTTCAGGATATTCAAAAACTAGTTACTAGATTACCAAATGTTATACAAGTTAAAAAGATAGCGTATGAAAAATTTAATCACATTGATTATCTTTGGGGTCGTGATGCGAGGACATTTCTATACAACAGTATTGTCGCTATATTAAAGAAATTTTAATAATGATATTATAATAATGTTTATAAAAATATGATTTGTTTGCATGAACACAAAAATCAAGTCAAAAATATCGTTTACAGTAAGTTTGCACATTTTAATTAACACTAATTATAAGAAATCAATGATAAAATAATACTTTAAAATAAAATTAAAATATTTCAGATATATATTGGTTATCGATGGAAATTATAGCTAATATAATTTTATCATAAGGAAACGATGCCAAGAAAAAGCAGTAAAACATGAATTTTAAAAAATAAAAAATGATGCACTGTTTAAAAACAATTTTTTATATTTAAACATGGAATTGTTTATCTAGAAAAATTGATTAGCTATGAAAATAGATATTTGTAATATTTATTATTCATAAATCTAAGTTTTTAGAAATAAAGGAAATTACGTTTTAAAAAAGATATTTAATAATTTATAAGTTAGAGGTAGAATATATTATTTTTATCTATTCAAAAAATAAAGTAATTTGCACATGTAAAACATCTCATACATGCTGTAGAATATTAAAGTCGTATGCTAAAAACAGCCTTAAGAATATTTAAATCAACAGTCAACTCTACTCAATATATAAATGTATATATGTATATGTATGGATAAAGTGATAAACAAGACATCATGCATAATGCCCGAGACTAGTCTGGCAGAGTGATAAATAAATAAATAAATATGTATATTTTTTATATTTATTTTTTTATATTGCCTGGTCAAAGTGATAAATTAACAACTATTTATCACTTTGCCCAATTGGTCTCGGGCATTATGCATAATACCTCATTTATCACTTTTTCCATAACATATATACCTTAACAGCATCTTAATATTGACAAACTTGTCTCCTGAAAAAATTTCTAACAAATAAATAGTTTTATAACATCTTTGTTTGAAAGAATTATATTATTATTGGATTTATAAGGATTGCATTGATATTAATCCTGAATATTTTTCTTACTTGATATACAATTAAATAAATTTAAAATTATTTATTTTTTCTCATTTTATTTATAGCTAATATTTAGATAGTAGATTAGATTAATTTATTGAAAGAAATATTATGTGTAATGGTATCTCCTGTCCTTCACTTGCTTTCTTACTCCAACATAATCACGTGGTCAGATAAACGTAATATAGTGGGGGAACAGCGCATGAAAGAGAAGTGTAAAACAGACAATCGGAAGATACAGAAGATCTAGTGTTCAAAAGAAAAATATTAAAAATCAACAGTTGCTATCAAAAAAAGCATCGCACAAATCATATTTTAGTTCTTGCACATCAAAGCTATATTTTGTGCATTTATGGCAAGAGTGTGTAGAAAATTTGTAAATAATAACATTTTCGAAGAAAGAATCTTTATCTTCACACACTTGGTAGTTTAAAAATATTTACCTTTTAGCCAGATAATACTGATAATCTGTTTTAAAAAGTTATCTGTTGGTGATGAATGTTACCATTTTTTAAATTCCGGTTTTCTTATCACAGATAATAATTATTATATAATGTGTTGATGAAAGCTTTAACTAATTAAAGCATTATTTTCCAACATTTCACACGTAACGTTCTTTACAGACAACTGCCACTATGGCTCTAAAGTTTGCTACTAACCTGTCTTTTATGTTTACGGAAGTTCCTAGTATTATTGACAGATATCAGCTGGCCAAGCAAGCTGGGTTTAAAGCAGTGGAAAGTGGATTTCCATTTGGTTGCCCTGTTCAACAGGTTGCTGCAGCCAAAAAAAAGGCAAATGTTGACCAAATACTTCTGAATGTATTTACAGGTATGTTATGTTCGTCATATAACAAAAATAAGCACTTGTGGGATGTACATGATCTGAAAAATAATATAAAATAATAAAAATGATATATTTTTCAATGTTGTATCAAAATTTATCTATAATCAAGTATCATCTTTCTGAGAAAATATCTTTTATAATGCTTCTTTCTAATGTCTTCTGTAACTATTTCTAATGTCTTCACTATTTCTGGTAACAATTCTGCAATTTCTTTATAATGTTCAAAAATTACATTTTTTATTAAAACAAAAATATTTTTTAAAATATCACATGGGTTGCAGATAAACTTTAAAAAAAATTAGAAAAATTATTTTTATTAACGTTATCTCTGTTGTAACAGGTGATGTAACAAAAGGTGAACTGGGCTTTGCTGCAATTCCTGGTGAAGAAGAAAACTTCAAAAAGAGTATTGAGAAAACGATAGAGTATGCTAAAGCTTTGGATTGTAAGATGTAAGTGTAATCACATTAACTATAGATATACGCACATAATTAAGAATTAATTCTCTTCCAACAATGAATTATTCTCAATAGGATTCACGTAATGTCAGGAAAAGTGGAATCGCCCACTGCTGCTAATGATACAGTTTATGAAAAAAATCTTTTATATGCTATTGAACAGTGTCAAAAGGAAGACATTGTCATTGTGATCGAACCAATTAACAATTACAGTGTACCAAATTACTATATGAATAATTTTCAAAAAGGTACAAACTTGTCATTAATTATAATTGATATTCTTATAATACATTATTAGAATAATCTTTTTATTCTTATCACAATAGGTTTAGATTTGGTAAAGAAGATAAACAGTACTTATTTTAAGTTGCAATTGGATATTTTTCATTTACAACATTGTTGTGGCAATATTACTAAATGTATTCAAAGTTTTTTACCTTATGTGGGTTAGTATATCTTTATATATTATATTATTTCTTCTATTTCCTACAATTGCCTCTTCTATTATTTTCATGAAATACATTATTCTTATAGGCCATATTCAAATAGCTCAAGTGCCTGATAGGCATGAACCAGATACTCCAGGAGAAATTGATTATAAATACGTCCTTTCCTTATTGGAAACAGTGGGCTACACTGGATATATTGGTTTGGAATATCGGCCAAAGTCATTGACAGTGGAAGGATTAAATTGGATTAAAAAATATGGTTATACTCTGTAAATAATCATATATGTATGTTAATACATAAAGATATAATTATACAAATATAATTTATATGTTAATTAATTATATATTTAAATTGCTTTTAATAATTATCAAGAGACACGGTAGTGTCTCGCGCCAAGTTCACGCGCAGCGCAAGACCGACGTGTATCTTTACGCGAGCCCGAAGAGCCCAGAGAGCCGAGATTATCGGAACTCAGTAATGCCTGGTTACATATACGTGACATTGACAATGTTTATGTTTGTTCATATACTTTATATATATATATATACAAATGCACAAGTATGAACTTAATTCTTAAGAAACGCATATATGGTACTTACTAATAAATTTTGTACCATGTAGAACAAAATTATAGTTTATTATACATTTTTTAATTATCTTCTTCATCTGGTTCCTGTAAGTGGTCCAATTTAAGTTCTTTTGAACGATCAATTTTAATTACAGGCCGATCCTGTTTATTTATCTTCTTTGGTTTCTGTCCAACCACATATTCTGGCAAAATAATTTTACTGCTTCTGAATACAGGCCTGTCATCTGATTTTATAATAACTGTTTCAGAATTTTCTGTTGCTTCATTTTGAGGCTTTCTAAATGTTATTTGTGATTTTAATGTACGTTTTTTAGATTTAAACTGCATCTCTACAGAATCTTGTAAATTTGACTTGCAAGGCTCAACATCCATGTTCTCTTCATACTGATTAACTTCTTCATTTTTCCTGCGAGCTTTTAGTTCTCTCAAAAATGACATGGCAGCTTGTGTATTACTGCGGTCTGTCATGTCTTCACTGGATACATCGTCCAGACTATATTTGACCCATTTGTGCGGATTCCTATGATAATCTGGAATGTTTCTGAAAGTTGCACGAGGTGCAGGACCCTCAGGACGCTTAAAGATGCTTTCCTTGCCACGAAATTTTTTAGTTTCTCTCTTTCGTTTCCGATCCTCTCTCAAGGTTGAACTTCTACCGCATTCATCCACCTCCATTTTGGTATCATTTGTTTCAGATCTATCATTTTTAATACACTTGTTTTCAGCGATCGAGAGCTGATCAAACAATAATTTCTGCCTATTAGCAAATGCCGCATCACCACCACGTAGAACAAAATTAGTAGATGTGTGCATTTTGAAAGCCGTGATATATCTCGCTACAAATTATTCAATTTACAAATTTAACGTATACTTCTAAAATAAAATAGATAGGTGCAAATTTAACATATTTCAAACCTCGAAATCAGTGTTTAAGAAGCTGTTAGGTTAGGTTATGTTGACATTTAATTTGGTAGACACTCTGCTGCCAAATATGGATAAATCCAGTAAGATTGTAGTAAGTCGAATTACTTTCATTTGTTGCGAATAAACGCAGTAGTTAATCAACAATGTTATAAGCAATATACATATATTTCAATCCCAACACAGTGTAGGAGCTCGTAAGCTGCGTAAATATCAATCACGTCAAATCACGTTTGATGAGAAACTAAAGTTGTGTTTGGTGCCATTAGTGCCATTCTGCCTTCTAAAGGTACCTTTTCATGCTGACGCTCGACGCTCAATTTCAGCGTCAAAAGACATCATGTGATCAAAAATCGCTGCAATGATTCGTTATTTTTAGTCACGTGATGTCTTCTAACGCCGAAATTGAGCGTCGAGCGTCAGCATGAAAAGGTACCTTAAGGGTATATCCAGAGTCTGGATTCCAGACCAACTTGCATAACGTAAAAAAAATTACAAAATTATGCAACAATTACTACAGAGTACGCATATGTAAAAACTCAGGCCCAATAAGTAATACTCAATGCTATTAATAATTAATAATTTAACAAAAAATGTAATAAAGTTTAAAATTATTATATTACAAAATATTATTTTTTATGTCCACATCTGAAAAAATAATACCTTCAAATCATAAAATTCTTATTCATAACTTAATGAGAGATAAAAATGACTAAAAAGTGAAAACAAACTTGTAAGAGCATCTAAAATAATAATAGCAATCTTGTCATACAATTAAAAATATTTTAATATTACAAACAAAAATCTACATTTAGATAAATATTACAAACAAAAATCTACATTTAGATAAATCTTACAAAAAAGCAATTCAAATTAGAAGAATTGACATATATACATTTATCACATTAGACGGGAA